GATCCCGTGAGGGCGGCGCCGGGAGGCTCCCGGCTCCTCCCGGCACGCGGCCCCGCTCCAGCCTCCTCCTCGCTCCTGCTTATCAGCAACTTGCAGCCTGGGCGCCTTCTACCCACCAGGTAATTAGAGCCCGGCTCCGAGCACGCCCAGGGAGATTAGTTCTTCATTGTTTGCATTCCCGGAATCACAGGTTCTCAGCTCCAGCAAAGCTCCACAAAACTTCAGGAGAAGCCAGGCAAGTCGTGCCCCTAACGCACGCTCTGGTTTTGCCCTCATCCAGTCGCTCCTTTGGATCACGCATATATTAAACTAGGAGAAAAACACCCCAGCTTTACCTCCTCCGAACCAGGAATGAGTATTTCAAGCCCTCCTGCCCCTGCCCGCTGCGCTGCTTGGCAGCCACGGCCACCTGCTTCCTTTCTGCTTTTGCTTTAGTTTTACATATGCTGCTGGGGAGGAAAGCCGGGAGGAGGAGCTGAAGGGAAAAAACAGCAGCATTTCATGCAAATGTCAAAGGTCTGAGCCAGGAGAAGCAATCACCAGCTAGGATGAAACAGGCTGTTTGAGAAACTAAACCCATCTGAAGCGTAAGAAAAATAACAGCAACAAATGCAGCCAATGCAAAGTCCCCTCCTCCGAGGGCCTGACCTTGCACAAAGCTCCCTGGAGACCTCATCTGGCGCTGGGATGGGCTTTCCGCTCCCCGGTGGGATGTTCCAGCAGGAAGCCTGCTCTTTGCACAAGGCTCCGCGCCCGCCAAGGCTCCCGGGGAGGCTGGCACAGCTCCGCGCCCTCCCCCTTGCTCGCGGCACTTGGAGCACAGGTTTTGCAATCCTCCCCTTGGGTCACCGAGGGATTTGGAGTCCTTTGTGATTATGTGGCCTGGGCGGGAGCTGAATGAGAGCAGCAGGAACTGGATGTCCGTGCGCTTCATTTCACGGGCAACCAAAGGAACTGCTCCAGGAAGGCGGTTTCTCCTCCAAGCTGCCCTGCTGAAAGGCCGTGCTTAGCAGTGGCCCATGCAAAAAGCCCTTTGAAGCCATTAGCAAGAGCCGCGGCTCCCCGGGCCGAGCGCCCTCCGCGTCCCGGCACCGCGAGGCCACCTCGCTTGACGCGGTTCTGCTGTCACACGCGGCACCTGCCCCACTGCTGGGACCAGCCAGGCGCGGCTTTGCCAGCCTAGCACTAGCGCAGCCAGCGAAGCTGCCTCCGCGGGGTTTAGCAACACGGTTAACGCCTTGGCCAAGCGCCTCACCACGGTGAAACAGCCTCACGCACGCCCATGCGCTGCCTAAAAGTCAAGCGCGAGGGAGTTTGATTGGATCATTAATCACTCGGAACAAGAAACGGCTCTGCGGCGTTTGTGGAGCGCTGAGCACAGAGCCATTAAACAAGCGCTGCTGCCGTCCCGGGCCGCTCGTCACGCGTGGGCTCCAGCGTGCGCCCCGCAGGCCGTGGGAAGCTGTTTCCATGCGCTGCGACGGAGCGGGCAGCAGGACGCCAGGGCAGCTGGAATAGCCCCGGACACGCAGCGCCGGGCGGGCCGGCTCGCAGGACAGCTCTGCAAGAGGAAGCTGCAGGCGCAGGACGACCCACGCTGCAAAGACGGCTCCAGGGAGCACTTCCCGCAGCGACGCTGCTCGCAGCGCTCCGCGCCCAGGGAACAGCAAAAAGGGCGTCGAAAAGGGAAATTGCCCGTTCTGGTGTGCAGAGAGCTGCTGCGACGGGGACGGTGCCGTCCCTCGCAGGGACCATCCCTGGCCCAGGACCGGGTGCGCGCGGAGCAGCGCTCCGAGCTCCCGTCTGCCCGGGCAGCGCGCAGGCGGCTCCGGGCATCGCTGCGGGGCCGGCGGCTACTTGCGCTGTCCAGGCGGCCACCAGCAGAAGCTGCAAAACACCTCAAATATGGGGAAGTCGTTCAGCTGAGCTCAGCCAGCCCCGGGGCGACAGGAACCCAAAACGCAGGTGCCGGCGGCTGCGGCGGG